AAACCTGCTTGATTAACGCGTCTACATAAGGTGGACACGAAGCGGTTCCGTCTTAGTAACTCGCCCCTCTCACTCCTTTCCCATTAGGAGGAACGGACTGCCAATCCCCAATAGTCCATGCTTAATCACTAATATTTGTACCGCCGCGCTTCGCTCCCCCGCAGGTGGGCCTGCTGGGCACGGCGAGGAAGCTCCAGCGCGACCTCGACCAGATGGCGTTGCGAGTGTTTTCGAGTCGACTCAAACACAGGCTAATCATTCAACCCTCTCGTTCCGCTCTCCTCCCTCCCCCCCCCCCCCCCCCTTCGCAGGTGGGCCTGCTGGGCACGGCGAGGAAGCTTCAGCGCGACCTCGACCAGATGGCGTCGCGCGCCGACACCGGCTCGCAGGAGGGCCTGCACTCCATCCTGCAAGGTGAGCATCCGTGATTCGCGAACATGGACCCTCGCATTGCTTGAGTAACGGTCACTTTTCGGTCGATTTATATCCGGATTCTGTGTGTGGCTGGTGTTTCCGTCCTATTTTCTCATCTAGAAAAATTCCCAGCCAGCCCGTATCTCACGGCCCATGCGTTCTTCTTTTCGTCTCCGCTGCTCCCGTTCCTTCCTTCAGAGACCGTTCTCGCTCTCCTGCGCAACCCCGACTACTGCATCTACGGCTTCTCCACGGTACGCTCGTCTCTCCACCGCATCTCACCGCATTTCACCGCATTCGACCATCTGCGTCTTCCTTTCCCATCCACTTCCCTTTCATTCACTTTCAGCTCTCCTTTCCCCCTCCCCCGCCCCGCTCCCCCCTCCCACCCTACACTTCCCTCTCTCTCTGTTTCTCTCCGACCCTGTATCTCCCTCCCTCCCTCTCCCACGCCTTTCTTCCTCTGCTCCTTATCATCAAAGCAATCCGCCCGCCATACAAACGATAAACAATGTTCCTGCTCTGCAAACCGTGTGCTTGATCCCATACGTGCAGTCGGAGACGGCCAACGACTCGTACGGGGGGGAGGCGGCGTTCAACCGGCTGAGCATGGGCGAGCGCAGCAAGTTCAAGGAGGAGACGCTCGTCAATGTCGGCGACGTGCGGAAACGGTCGGAGCGCGAGCCCAGCGAGCACCGAATGAACAGCGAATACATTGTGGTACGTTGCACGTATATAGTAATTAATTCTCCAGGTTTTGCATATTTTTCTTCAGCTTTTGCGTGTTCATCTGTTCTTCACTGTTGCTTCTTATGCCTCTTCTTCCCTTGAGTCAAGCATTTGTAATCTAAGATCTTTCTCGCTGTCCGTCTTGACAGGTCACCATTCTGGCGGCCACAGAGGGAACTTTCGTGCTGCCCGAGGTGAAATCTAACGCCGACCTGAGAGAGGCGCTCACCATCCTAGGGTCCATCCCTGCTGACGAGCTCCAGGTGAGTGACTGTAACGGGGTGTTTGAGTGGTTGTGATGTCAAGCCCGATAGAGTAATCTCTCTGCTGTGGGGGAGTGACGGTGATAATCTAACCAGGGTACGGGGTTAATGTGCCTTGAAGTTACCTTCGGCAGCGGCAGCTGACCTGAAATAGGATGCACTAGTTGCAATCCCTGTCTTGCTTGCCACTCTATGTTCTATTCTCAACCTGCCTAAGAGGAATCTGACCGGTATGCTCACCATGCGCTACGTTGTGTGTCATGGCAGGCTGTGGAGGTGCTGTGGACGCCGCAAAACGAGGAGGACACGCTCACAACGCGTGACATGCTCGAGGACTATCCCTCGCTGCGGCCTCTGTAGATTGAACGACCCTGCTTTTTTTACGCTTGCACGTTTTTGGTCTTGCGTTGCTGTGCAACTGTACTAAATATAAAGGGTTTTGCATTACCGTATTATTCCGGCTATAGGACCCGCCGGTAAAAGAGTCCCCCGGGACTCTCTATAGGATACTGGGACTCTTAATTTGGTATCAAAATGAGAGGACCCCCCTCTTGCCCCTAAACATTATAAGACCTCCCTTTTATATACTGTAGTCGTAAATGTAATTGCGCGTCAGCTTTTATAGGCGTTTTTTCGAAGTCTGACACGCTGTATGTGTCAGATTTCAATTCTGACATGTTTTTGTGTGTCAGACGCGAATTCTGACACAAATCTGACGCGCCGCTCGCGTAAGATTTCCATACGAGGGGTGTTTTTCGTTACCGAATATAAGACCCTCCCCCTTGAAACGAACAGTACATGGTAGATCCCATAACATTGTTAGACAAATAAGCACACCCGGGTCTTAAAAAACTGTTATCCAACTATATGACCTTAGCATTTTTTTTTTGCATTTGTAGAAAGTCCCCCGGGTCCTATAGCCGGAATAATACGGTACCCCTTCACAGCTGGCCGCCTACAACACCCGGGCAGTTTCAAAAATTACCTCACCTGAAGCCCAGCTTTACAAGTACAAGAGAAAGAACCTTGGCTTGTCGAAGAAAATGTGATAAAGGCGTATCCACCTCAGAAAGACCAGTTCAAGGGTTGGGTGTCCCCTCCCCACCAGATAGATCACTGAATTCTTTTTTATATTCCCAGATGCCTGTCAGTAGATACAGGTGGGGGGAAAAATCGTGCACAAATAACGGAGATGCTACAAGTATAGTAGGAACGGCCAAAGTTATCCATGTGGAGAGGAGTGGAGCCTGTCCAACCTACCGTGATCTCCCGGTTAGAAGTTCCGGGGGTTGTGGGGTCTTATGTAATGGCATATAGTGCATAAGACCCCTGGACATCTATTAATTACTAAAAAATGGATTGTGTAGTGCAGTGTTGAAGAAATTCGAAAATTGATGTACTGAATTTTGGATTCCTTCACAGCGCGGAAATTCATCCTCAGATACTCGCACTCGAGTCTCCCTGATTTCTTTCCGCACGTTCAGAAATGCCAACTAACGACAGGCACGTCAGCATTTCTTGCCTGAAGGGCGGCAAAAACGCGTGATTGATGTGGCATCTTGACTCCCTTGACTACAAATTCGCCTGACGAAGTGAATTTTGTGGTTTTTTGTGTGACTCGCTAACAAGGTCATGAACTAACACCACTCATTATAGCCTGAGGGGGGGTGTTATAATGATTGGGATCAAAAGACGGGTCCTCTCCAGGACTGACATTATAAAAGACCCCTGGTCCGGATAGAAGACCCACGGGGCTTTTATGCGGGGGGGTCTTGTAACCGGGAGATCACGGGTACTCTATACCATAGACATCTCAATAATGAAGTCATAATCAGTGTGGCACAACCGAACGCCGAGAGACAAAGCGGTCACCTCACTTGCCCAGCCTTCTCTTCCAGTACCAAAACTGCAATGGGGGAAAAGGAAAGCACGGAGAGAGGGGCAGAAGAAGGCACCAAATACATAAGGACTGCAGAAAACCAAGTTGCCGTGCCATGGATATGTGAGAGACAGCAGTGAATACTGCTGGAGATTACAACGGTACTCATGCTGGTGGCATGCTGAGAGCTAATGCCGTTCTGAGGGTGATGAGTGGATAATAAGGAAGGCGATGAGGGAAGAGAGGAGGGATGATTGACCGAGAAGAGAGTGCGTGACTGTGAGAAGAGAGAGATTGTGAGAAGGGAGTGAGAGTGAGAAGAGAATGGGTGAGAAGAGAGTGAGAGTGACGGAGGAGAGCGAGAGTGTGAGAAGAGAGTGAGTGTGAGAAAGGAGTGTGAGTGTATGAGAAAAGGGTGAGTACGAGAAAAGAGTGTGAGTGTATGAGAAAAGAGTGAGTGTATGAGAAGAGGGTTTGAGTGTCTGAGAAAAGAGTGAGTGTATGAGAAGAGGGTGTGAGTGTATGAGAAGGGATGTAGTCTGTGAGACAAGAACGAGCCACAATAGAGCTTGCACTGAAATAGACCACAATGTACGCTAACCTGCACCGCACTGCACCTCGATATACCGCACTACACTGCAAGATATCTACCATGCTCTGGTTTGAGGCGCCAGCCCATGCTTCCCAGGTGGTTTGTGGAGTGCACTGCTGTCCTGCACCTGTTGCGCTCTACCTTCAACCTAATAGTACCTCAGTCCACCGCACTAAAACGCAAACATATTTACCATGCTCAGGTGTGAGGCGCCAGCCCATGCTGCCCAGGTGGCTTGTGGCGTGCGCTGCTGTCTTGCACCTGTTGGTGTTGGTGGATGGGATGGGACGATAAAAGAAAAGAAAAAAAACACATGAAGGAAAGAGAAAGGAGAAAAGGAGCAATTTGAGAAAGGGGAAGAGGAGCAATGTGAGAAAACTGAAAGAACAGGTGTCACCAAAGGACAAGGGGCAAGCGAAAAAAAGGGAAAAAAAGAAGCCGGAGAACAGTGAAGGGTCACACTGCTGTGCCAGGCCATAGCAAGTGAACAATGATCACAGCTAATATGGAGTGACATCTGTAGAACTGTTATTATGTGTAGGAGCAGATAGAAACAGCCGAGAATGCAAAAGCCAAGTGTAAAGAAGAATCTTAACAAGGCATCATCAGGGAAGAGCTCAGAAACACATGGAGCTGCAGTATTGCGAGTGAGTTAGGAGGAATGTGAGTGCGGAGGGATGTGAGCTAGGAGGAATGTGAGTGCGGAGGGATGTGAGTTAGGAGGAATGTGAGTGCGGAGGGATGTGAGTTAGGAGGAATGTGAGTGCGGAGGGATGTGAGTTAGGAGGAATGCGAGTGCGGAGGGATGTGAGTTAGGAGGAATGTGAGTGCGGAGGGATGTGAGTAAGGAGGAATGTGAGTGCGGAGGGATGTGAGTTAGGAGGAATGTGAGTGCGGAGGGATGTGAGTTAGGAGGAATGTGAGTGCTGAGGGAGGAGGAATGTGAGTGCGGAGGGATGTGAGTTAGGAGGAATGTGAGTGCGGAGGGATGTGAGTTAGGAGGAATGTGAGTGCGGAGGGATGTGAGTTAGGAGGAATGTGAGTGCGGAGGGATGTGAGTTAGGAGGAATGTGAGTGCGGAGGGATGTGAGTTAGGAGGAATGTGAGTGCGGAGGGATGTGAGTTAGGAGGAATGTGAGTGCGGAGGGATGTGAGTGCGGAGGAATGTGAGTGCGGAGGAATGTGAGTGCGGAGGAATGCAAGTGTGGAGGGTCACATAGGTGCAAGTTGCAACGTACCCCGGGATGGGAATGGCTCCTTTGCACATAATGTAGTTAAGAGCGACCTGAAGGGGAGTGGAAGGGGAGGGGTGAGCGACCTTTTGAGAATTCTCACAGTGGCACATGACGTACGTGAGTGAGAGATAGCTGGTTGGGAGTGGCTGAAATGGAGGTTAGAGGGACGAACGAAGCATGGGAGTGTGCAACATGGCTCCCTGCCACTACGAGCTCTTTCACTCCGACCAGCCACTCCTGCCCGCATCTCCACGCAGGAACACTATATGCTACACTGAAGTTCTGTCATGCCCACCTGGGAAACACTCTTGCCGCCATACTCCTCTCCCATCGCCTTCATCAGCTGCAGCAAGGGGCGCACCTGCAGCACGCAGGGGGAGAGGGGAGGGGGGACAGGGAGAGCAGAGATGAGGGAGGCGGAAGGCAAGGAGCGTTAGAGTCGACTTTACAGTCACGAGCTCTTGCCGCCATTCTCCTCTCCAATCGCCCGCAGCAGCTCCAACAACGGACGCACCTGCAGCACGCAGCAGGGGAGGGAAGGGAGGACAGGGTGGGCATAGAAAAGGGAGTATGCTGCCAGAGAACTTGGAGAATTCTCAAAAGCGACTGCAAAGCTTACTGTAGGTCGTACTGTAAGGCTGTAACCCGTAGTGTACTCTCAGTCATGCAGAGCTCAGGGCCCAAGAGCACAGACAGTCACACCACCAAGGCTTCTTTTCTCGCCCTCACAACATGCTTGCATGAGTGCATGAGAGTGCTGCCAACAAGCAGCCCAGGGAGAACCACCTTTTGAGAATTCTCAAGAACCTCCTGCCCTATATGAGTTGAGGAGACCACTTCACTCAAATTGCGTCTTTAATAAGGAGAGCCACCTGTGTGGTGCCCCTCAGGCTTAGGCACGAGCCACGCTGCATCTACACCCCACTCGTCCTAAGCTGTCTTTCGGACTCTCTCCAGCCCTCTCACTCGCATCCCTCCTTCCCTCTTAACCGTTCCATCCTATTACATGCACGTAGGTGAAAGCAATTCATGAAAGGTCCTCGCCTCTCACTCACATCCCTCCTCTGCTCTCAAACAGTCCATCCAATTAATACGGACAGTGACACGTACAGGCAAGAGGGACGAAACCAAGAGATCAGAAGCCTTTTCCTGTCACTCGCTGCCCCCCTCTCGCCTCACTCACTTCCCGCCTCGCCTCTTCCCACCTCACTCACCCGCACAGCGTCCTTGTGTGTGCGAGTGAGTGAGAGCCTTGTCCGTGAGCTGCACAGACAAAAGGGCAACAAGAGCACCGGCAGGAACCAGCAGCACAGACGCGACAGCAACAAGAGCAGATGCAGGAACAGAACAACCACCACAGCACAAGCCACTAAGGCTTCTCGTTCTCACCCATCCCTCCCCTTCTCCCTATCACCCACCCTCAACTAAACCGTCTGTTCCTCACCTCTCTCCAGCTGCCTCTCACTCACCCGCACAGCATCCTTGTATCTGTGCGTGCGAGCCTTGTCTGTGAGAGCCTTGTCTGTGAGCGGCCAAAGGAGACTCGCAAGCTCTTCCCTTTAACCTCCCCCTCTCCCTCCCACTCACCCCCAGAGCGTCCTTGTCTGTGGGTGTGAGAGCCTTGTCTGTGGGTGTGAGAGCCTTGTCTGTGGGTGTGAGAGCCTTCTCCGTGAGCAGCAAAAGGAAAACTCTTCCAGCCCTCTCACTCTCTTCCCTCGCCTCTCCTCTCACTCACGCTTGTCCCATCTTCCCTCACTCACTCGCACAGCATCCTTGTCTGTGCGGGTGAGGGACTTGACTGTAAGCACCCCCCCTCCCCCCTCTCGCCCCCCTGCTGCCTTTCACTCACCCGCACAGCATCCTTGTCTGTGCGCGGGAGAGCCTTGTCTGCGAGCAGGAGAAGGGCAACTTGTACAACCCTCTCACTCTTTTCCCTCTCCTCTCCTCTCACTCTCTTCCCTCTCCTCTCCTCTCACTCTCTTCCCTCTCCTCTCCTCTCACTCTCTTCCCTCTCCTTTCCTCTCACTCTCTTCCCTCTCCTCTCCTCTCCTCTCCTCTCCTCTCACTCACGCTTGTCCCGTCTCCCCCGACCCAACTCACCCGCACAGCATCCTTGTCTGAGCGCGTGAGAGCCTTGTCTGTGAGCAGGCCTGATGCCAGGGGCGAGTGGTGCACAGGCAGGCACCGGCAGGACAGCACAGGCCAAGCTCACCTCCCCGTCCTCCCCACCCCACCCCCTCTCACCCGCACAGCATCCTTGTCTGAGCGCGTGAGAGCCTTGTCTGTGAGCAGCCCAGATGCCAGGGGAGAGTAGGCTATGAGCGACACTTGCAGGTCCTGACAAGAGTTGGGGGGTGGATGGGGGAGGTGATAGGGGGTAAGGGAGTGGAAAGAGGGAGAGTGCAATGCAAGGTGGAGAAGCGCAGGCTGGATGCAAGGGGCGAGTAGGCTATGAGCGACACTTGCACATCTCGTGGTGGGGATGTGGGGACAGGCGGGGGGAGGTTGCTGAGGAGGAGGGTACAGGGAGAAAAGGGGAGGAGTGGAGGAGGGGAGCAGACAGGGGGCACGCCAGGGGCGAATAAGCTATGAGCGACACTTGTAGGCCCTGATGGGGAGCGGAGGAGTGGATGGGAAGAGGAGGGGTGGGTCCTAGGGGGGAGATTTGAGTAGCGGGGGAGTTGTTGTTAAGCGGGGGGTGGGGTGGCGGTAAGGGGGGCAGCCCCCCCTGCTCACTGCTCGCCCCACTCACTGGCTACCCGAATCACTGCTCCCCTCGCCCACTGCCCTCCTTGCATGATGCGTGCAGCAGGCCATTGGTCTCTGTGCCTCGGTCCAAGAGGCTGGTGCAATGTGTTGCAGTGCCCTGTGATTGTGATCCCCTGCGCTTGTGATGTGAAATACCCCACTCCGCAGTGCTCCCCCACTCCGCAGTGCTCCCCCACTCCGCAGTGCTCCCCCACTCCGCCCGGCTCCACAGGTTCCTTCCCCCACTGCTCACCTGGCATGCGTGCACCAGGCCATTGGTCTCTGTGCCTCTGTCAAGCAGGCTGCTGCAATGTGTTGCAGTGGCAGTGATATTTATCCCCCATGGTTGTGAAACACCCCGTGTTTCCCCCACTAAGCCCCCCCCCTTTCCCGTCCCCCCACTGCCCACATTGCATGCGTGCAGCAGTCCGTTGGTCTCCGTGCCTCGGTCCAACAGGCTGGTGGGGCGCTGAGTTTTGAGGTGTCTAAGTAAGACTGTTGTATGCTCCCTCACCCAGCCCACCCATCCCTCTCACTTATTTCTCTGCCCTCCCTGCCCACTGCTCACCTTGCATGTGTGCAGCAGGCCATTGGTTTCCGTGCCTCTGTCCAACAGGCTGGTGGGACGGGCAAAGGGGGGGTGGGTATGACAAAAAGAGGAATGAAGGGTTTAAGAGAGAGGGGTGGAGGGAGAGGAGAGTGTGGGAGACGAGAGGATATAGAGTTGAGAGGGGAAGGTGGGGAGGAGAAGTGAGGGAAAAGGAGGAGCAGCACTCAAGGCACAAACTTTTGAGGCGCCTCAAAAGACTTTTGACACGCCTCAAAAGACTTTTGACACGCCTCAAAAGACTTTTGACACGCCTCAAAAGACTTTTGACACGCCTCAAAAGACTTTTGACACGCCTCAAAAGACTTTTGACACGCCTCAAAAGACTTTTGACACTCCTCAAAAGACTTTTGACACGCCTCAAAAGACTTTTGACACGCCTCAAAAGACTTTTGACACGCCTCAAAAGGAGAAGTGAGGGAAAGGGAGGAGCAGCACTCAAGGCACAAACCTCCCTCACTTAAAAATGGCCTGCAGAAAAATGACTTGCACAAAACTTATTTCATGAAAAGCAACAACGGTTTCATAAAACAAGACTCATTGCACGCAACTAAACTGATAACAAGGGTTTGACACGTGCGACTCATGTCACGTTCCAAAGGGCTCTTGTCTTGTGTTCAAGATGAGCTCACTTGAACTTGACTTGGTTTGAGGCAAGCGGGATGTTTGCTGCTTTGAGAAGAGAATGCGCTTCCTGTAGCTGCGGGGGGCAGGACAGAGAGGGAGGGAGGGCAGAAGAGATGGGAGAGGGGCCAAAAGAGTGACTATCGAGTCGAATCAAGGGCCACCTTGATGCTTTGAGAGGGGAATGCGCCTCCTGTTGCTGGGGGGGGCAGGACAGAGAGGGAGGGGTGGCAGAAGAGATGGGAGGGGGGCCAGAAGGGTGACGATCGAGTCGAATCAAGGGCCACCTTGCTGCTTTGAGAGGGGAATGCGCCTTCCGCAGCTGCTGGGGTGGGGTAGGGGGGAGAGGGAGGGAGGAACTTGATGGGACAGAGGGCGATGGGGTGGGAGAGGGGGAAGAAACCACCCTCTGCATGCGCCCACTTGAGCCCATGTCTACTTGATCCCTACCTAGCCTAAGGACGCGTCACAATTGAAATACCGAGGAAGGATGGGGGGTATTCACCGACCCTGCCAAATCGATCGCCACATCGGTGTGCCACGACTGAATTGTTGCAATCTCGAGCCCACCGCAAGTCCCAAGTGACACGATCGAAAAATAATGGGGCAAAATTGCCCAATGTGGACGAAATTGCCCAATGTGGACGAAATTGCCCGATTGATGTGTGGCAAGGGCACATCGATCGCCCGACTCCGAGGGGACTACTGTACATTGGCGACAAATGACGAAGACAAGTAACCAGCGACTAACGACTTCGCGAATGCACTTTAGCCGCGAAACACCGATCGTGACCTGCGCAGGATCGGTGTTTCAATTGTGACGCGTCCTAAGCAAAGAATAGCAAAGATTAGGAGGAGTTCGGTCTGCTGGATCTGTGGGTCGAATCTATTTTTCTCTGGCACGCCGAATTTCTGAGGCAGAAACGGCCCTCTGCATGCGCCCACTTGAGCCCACGTCCCTTCTCTCTACCAACTGCCAATACCCCATATCACCATCACCCGCTCCTTCTATCCACCCCTCACTCTCTTCCCCACGCACTACCTGCTAAGTGTTGCAGTTACTTCGCACGCACCCCCCCAGACTCCACCTGCCTGCTGTGTGTTGCAGTTGGACACTCCCCCAGCCGCGCCCAGCCCATGTGCATACGAGCGTTTGGGCTCTTGCCGTTTGACGACCCAGCACTAAACAGACACCCCATCCCAGCAACACCTACTGCTTCCATCCACCCCTCACTCTCCCCCCAAACTCCACCTGCTGTGTGTTGCAGTTGGGCACTCCCACAGCCGTGGCTTCTCACCCACATCTCTCGCCCACCATCACCCGCTCCTTCTAACCACTCTACACCTTCTTCAACCGCTACCTGCTGTGTGTTGTAGTTGGAAACCCCCACAGCCGTGGCCAGCCCCTCTGCATGCGCCTGCTTGAGCCCGTCCATCAGCGTGGCGTTGCTGATGGTGGGGAAGGGGAAGTGGATCTGATGGGAAGGGAGTGGAGGGAAGGGGCGAGAGGCATGGGGGAGGAGATTACACGGTGGTCCGTCGCATAGGACTGTATGGGGCGGGGCACACCCATTAGCGTGGCGTTGCTGATGGTGGGGAAGGGGAAGTGGATCTGATGGGAAGGGGATAAGAGGTGATGCATGGAAGGGCATGGACGGGTGGGAGGGAGGAGAGCACGAGAGACGGGATAGCAAGGGGGTTCTCGGTATGTGCTTGATTGAGCCCCTATTGATTAGAGAAGCGTTCATGGTGCTGGGGAAGCAAAAGTGATTCTGCTTGCATGGCATCCTTAGTTACTACTAAACAATGGCGTCAGCACAATGGCTTGAGTTCTTCCGCAGTTGTCATATGGCTCACCGTGACCGTACGTCGTGTTGGTAACGTCAGAAAAAGGTCCAGGTTGTACCTGGTGCAGATGATACCTGGTGCAGATGATACCTGGTGCAGGTGCTACCTGGTGCAGGTGCTACCTGGTGCAGGTGCTACCTGGTAGAGATCAACTCGCTCCATGCCAAGACGCTGCAGGCTCGCCTTGAGAGCATCTATCAGCGACTGGCGGCCGAATCGAAGCCCGCCACCTGGCAAGGGAAGCAACCGGGGATTGGAGGGAGAGGTGATAGCAGGAGAGAGTGAGGGAGAATGGGGAGGGTCATTCGAAGCCAAGGAAAAAAAAAGCACAACAATCTAAGACGCAGCAAGAGGGAGTAGAAGCAGGAGGCAGGAGGCAGGAGGCGAGGTGAGTGGGGTGGGCAGAGAGTCTGCTCTGAATCTATGAGCCACGGTTACCTAAGAAGCATAGATTCATACGCACATCCACTATACCCTGATTCCATGACAAGTATACCCTTGAGTTGAGTCGACTAGCGCAGGGCAGGTTGGTCCACTCCCCAGGATCCCGAGGCACTTGATGGCTCTTGATGGATCCCGAGGCACTTGATGGCGTCTTAACTTGTTGCTGCGTCTTAACTTGTTGCTGCATCTTAACTTGTTGCTGCGTCTTAACTTGTTGCTGCGTCTTAACTTGTTGCTGCGTCTTAACTTGTTGCTGCGTCTTAACTTGTTGCTGCGTCTTAACTTGTTGCTGCGTCTTAACTTGTTGCTGCGTCTTAACTTGTTGCTGCGTCTTCACTTTGTTGCTGCGTCTTAACTTGTTGCTGCGTCTTAACTTGTTGCTGCGTCTTAACTTGTTGCTGCGTCTTAACTTGTTGCTGCGTCTTAACTTGTTGCTGCGTCTTAACTTGTTGCTGCGTCTTAACTTGTTGCTGCGTCTTCACTTTGTTGCTGCGTCTTAACTTGTTGCTGCGTCTTAACTTGTTGCTGCGTCTTAACTTGTTGCTGCGTCTTAACTTGTTGCTGCGTCTTAACTTGTTGCTGCGTCTTCACTTTGTTGCTGCAACTTAACTTGTTGCTGCGTCTTAACTTGTTGCTGCGTCTTAACTTGTTGCTGCGTCTTAACTTGTTGCTGCGTCTTAACTTGTTGCTGCGTCTTAACTTGTTGCTGCGTCTTCACTTTGTTGCTGCGTCTTAACTTGTTGCTGCGTCTTAACTTGTTGCTGCGTCTTAACTTGTTGCTGCGTCTTAACTTGTTGCTGCGTCTTAACTTGTTGCTGCGTCTTAACTTGTTGCTGCGTCTTAACTTGTTGCTGCGTCTTAACTTGTTGCTGCGTCTTAACTTGTTGCTGCGTCTTAACTTGTTGCTGCGTCTTAACTTGTTGCTGCGTCTTCACTTTGTTGCTGCAACTTAACTTGTTGCTGCGTCTTAACTTGTTGCTGCGTCTTAACTTGTTGCTGCGTCTTAACTTGTTGCTGCGTCTTAACTTGTTGCTGCGTCTTAACTTGTTGCTGCGTCTTAACTTGTTGCTGCGTCTTCACTTTGTTGCTGCGTCTTAACTTGTTGCTGCGTCTTAACTTGTTGCTGCGTCTTAACTTGTTGCTGCGTCTTAACTTGTTGCTGCGTCTTAACTTGTTGCTGCGTCTTAACTTGTTGCTGCGTCTTAACTTGTTGCTGCGTCTTAACTTGTTGCTGCGTCTTAACTTGTTGCTGCGTCTTAACTTGTTGCTGCGTCTTAACTTGTTGCTGCGTCTTCACTTTGTTGCTGCGTCTTAACTTGTTGCTGCGTCTTAACTTGTTGCTGCGTCTTAACTTGTTGCTGCGTCTTAACTTGTTGCTGCGTCTTAACTTGTTGCTGCGTCTTAACTTGTTGCTACGTCTTAACTTGTTGCTGCGTCTTAACTTGTTGCTGCGTCTTAACTTTGTTGCTGCGTCTTAACTTGTTGCTACGTCTTAACTTTGTTGTTGCGTCTTAACTTGTTGCTGCGTCTTAACTTTGTTGCTGCGTCTTAACTTGTTGCTGCGTCTTAACTTGTTGCTGCGTCTTAACTTTGTTGCTGGGGAAGGAACCACACGCTGTTGCTCCTTTCCAGGCTCTGAGGCACACAGCCCAAACCCGGCTTGGCATGCGCGCATACATGGTGCATCGCACGTACTCACGAGCGGGATGGTGAAGAGCTTGGTGGTCGCTACAGGTGCCGTGCCGGGGGAGCAGGTCACCAGTGCAGTGCAGTAAGAAAGGCAGGGATCTGAAGGGGAACCCTCCCTGGGTCTCTAGAGGCCGCACGTACATCACATGTACCCACGAGCAGCTTGGTCCACACGGGATGGTCAAGAGCTTGATGGCCGCTACAGGCGCAGCTGGGGAGGGGACTGCGAGCTGTCACTGTCGCTCCTTCCAGGCCCCTCAAGGGGCACTGTCCACTGCCCCAAGGCGCATCCCCCTGCCTTGGCATGCGCACATACATACCCACGAGCACGTTGGTCCACGGGATGGCCGCTACAGGCGCCGGGAGGCGACCACATGCCCTGGCGACCACATGCCCTGGCTTTTCCCAGCCGGGCTTGGCATGAGCTTTTGCATCACATGCCACGTACCCACGAGCAGGTTGGTCCAGGGGATGGTGAAGAACTTGCTGGCCGCTACAGGCGCAGGGGACTGCGAGCTGTCGCTCCCCTCCTGGAGCCTCCTCGCCTTCTCCTCCGCCACGAACCTTCCCAGAAGCTGCTCGGAGGAGTTACCGGTCGGTATGCTTTGGTAGCCGTAGACCTGCAAGGGGAGGCAGAAAGAGGAGAGGTAAACAGGGAAGGGGGTACAGGGGGGTACAGGGGGGTACAGGGGGGTACAGGGGGCGGAGAGGGGGGGTACGGGAGGGGGAGAAGCAGGGATTATTGGGGGAAAGAAGTGGGGGGAGAGGGGGGGGGAGGGGCGCAGGAGGGGACGAGAGGGAGGAGGCGTGCAAAGAGATGAAGGGCCATTTGAGACGAGTGTGGTGAGGCGGTGAACGCTGAGGAGACGAGGGCTTGGTGTGGAGGATGGAGAAGCAGACAGGGGCAGGAGGAGGGGTGAAGGGGGGAGGAGAAGGGCAGCTAGGCGGGTGGAAGGGGAAGAAGACGAGAGCGGAGTGGAAGGGTGCCACGTATGTTATTCGGTACCATATGTGCCACATATGTTATTCGGTACCATATGTGCCACGTATGACACAAGGCTCGTCTATTCGGACTATCAACCCAAGAGAGTGGTTTCGAGAGTGGTTTCACGTAACCAGTCCAGAGAGAGGATTTGGACCATATGATAAAGTCACTCTCTGGTTAAATGAATGACAACGAGGACAACAGGACAGGCGTACTCTATATAAGCATGTAACAGAGTCAGTCAACGTGCTTATTGGAACCAACAAGTCAGTTAATGGTAGTTCAGTCTGCCTTCAAGCGAGCACCTCTGCAGAATCAAACAGGTTAATGCCGCCCGCCAGCGCCGCCAGGAAGGCCTCTGCCAGGTCAGCAGCGGAGTACTGTTCACCGAAGCCCGACCGCGGATCGCCCCATTGGAGCGTGCCGATTCCCAGCGGTGACACGCGCAGCTCCGATTGGCCGAGAGGAATGAGCGGCTCGGGAAGAGTGGGAGGAGAGGCGGGGCCTGGACAGGTGGATTTGGGGGGAGGAGGACGGGGGTGGGGGGATGGGTGTGTGGGTGGGAAGGGGCAGGGCAGAGTGAAGTAAAGCAGATCAAAGAGCAGATTGGGATTGCCAACGGTCCTGTGTGCAGGAGGACAAATATGGCGATTCCTGTTTTACAGGGTTTCAAAATTTGTGAACGCTATTGACGGGCCCTCCGGGGAGGAGAAGGGGAGGGGGGGGGAAGGGAGAAAAAGGGCAGCGCGGAGCGAACAGGGGGCTAGGATCAGCGCAGTGCGGAGCGGCGGGGGCGCAGCGGAAAGGGGTCCGCGGATAGGTGGGGGAAAGGCGGGTTGGTGGCGGAAAGGAAGCTGTGGGGGGACGAGGGGGAGGGGAAAGGGAAAAGGGTGAGACGGGGCGCAGGGGGGTGGAGTAGTGACGAAATTACCTGAATTCGACGGGGAGAGGGAGGAGGAGGGGGGTTGAAAGGCGGCCAAGTTACCTGAATTCGAGGGAGACGATGCGCAACAAGACGGGTGGGGAGGGGGAGGGGGGAGGTAGCGATGGAAAAGTGACGAAACTACCTGAATTCGGGGGAGAAGATGCGGCGACGGACGAATTACGGGAGGTCCTCGCAACGAGGCGCGTCCTCGGAAGGGAGACGTCGGGGTACACGCGGCGCGGGTTGAAACCCGCGTCGCAGCGAAGTGAAACTGAGCTGTGAATGGCTGCTGGCAGGGTGGCACTGATTGCTGCCATGATGCTGACGTGGCAGCTGGGACTCACAAACCGGCTACGGCGATCTTATAGTCTATCTAAAAGGGATGTTCGAGAACCGTCACTCAAACCTATCGCCGTCTACTCGCCCTGCGCGTATTGCGGCGATTTCGAGCTGAGGATGGCGGTAGTAACAACAATTCCAAAATTCCCCGATATAAAGTGACTCGGCGAAGGGACACTCGTTGAGGTTGCAACCTAGGACCAACATTTGTAAACTTTTGTTCAGTGCATGCTCTATTGCATATCGAACTCGCAACTGTACAGCACTTGGAAATACAGTGGATGTTAAAGGGGGATTTACTGTTTAGAACCAGAGGAACCCACCAACTCACCAATTCACGACGTTCTTCAGAACTCAACGCACTCGACGAGATCGAGTCGCGAAATTGTGAATTCGTCGTCCATTCAACCTGAACACTCTGGAGGAAATCGAGTCGCTAAATTATTGGACATTGCACTCCAGAGTCCAGACCAGACAAGCAGACAAACACTGCAAGAACATGTTTTTAGGGCGACGTCAGGTTATACATTTCACACACGCTTACAGTTCCTGTATCGTGGTTCGGGACGTTTTAACACGGTGAAAAACGGTTCTTGACGTTTACCGCAATGCAACGTGTTGGAACGAAGGTAACCGCAGTAGGCGTACAAAAAGCTGAACAACCTGACCTCGCCCTTATCAAGAACCAGAGGTGTATCAGAGACATCAATAATTGTGGGCATTCGAACGGCAGCGACGTCGCCGGCAACCAGAGCGCCTCCAGTGCTCAGAGAGGTATAAGGGCCTCATTTCGGCGCTTCTTACCAGCATTCGTTCCTTTCTCGGTCGCGTGCCTCTCGCGTCTTGTGCTCACCAATTTCAGAACCGTTTCGAGACCTAGGTCCGCAGAAAGTTCCACGACCGCAGGTCCGCTTAAAGATCCTCTGGTTCATAATCAGGAGAGCAATTCGAGTGCGATCTGACGGTGAAATCACCCCAAACTGCACTAGAAATCTAGTCCCGGACACTCCGGTGCCTATCATCGATACTCCTAGTTATTCGTGCCTTCAAGAACCTCTCCCACCAGCGACCCAATGGCGAAACTTACGGACACCTTCTCCATGCAGCTCGTTCTCCTCTCCCTCGTCTGCCTTTTGCTGCTCTCCCTCGCATCCGCCGGTCCACCTAAGCGCGGAGTCGCGCGCACGCGCCAGGCGCACGAGGAGTACCACCGTCAGCGCCAGCTGAACGACATCGAGGAACGCCCTGGGCGCCCGCCTCTCCACATGTTCGAAACGAAGGCGCATCACGAGAAGGAAGAGCGCGAAAAGGGCGAATCCGGGAGCGACACTTCAAGCGCTCCGATCAAATACCTAGGCGGGCCCGTGATGACCGGAAACCCGTCCATCAACGTGTACATCATCTACTACGGCAGCTGGCCGGAAGGGTCGGGGCAGAAAGTGATCGAGAATTTCATCAAGTCGCTGAGCAAGGACTCGAAGCGGCAGGGGAATCCTGCAGAGCCCAAGGTGAAGCGCTGGTGGGCGATCAGCACGGCGTACACGCAACAGGTGGATGGCGCCCCGACGAACGTCAGCACGAAGGTTCGTCGCAACACGCGGAGCGTCAGGAGGGAATGTTCGCCTCGTACCGAGGAATCGTTTTTGCTGGAATCGAACGGTTGGCCCAACTCGACCTGGATGATTGGGTCATCCGTTCAATCGAACATTGAACATCGAGATTTGGGTCATTGCAAGCACACCACCCTCGATATTAGCACACCACCCTCGATATTCGCTTTCATCTTGATTTCTCAACTCGCAAATTTTCTCGGTTTTATCCCAGGTGCGCCTCGCGGGGACCGTCTACGACAACTACTCGGCGGGAAAGAGTTTTGCCGACGACACAGTCTGGAACGGTACCGTGCGACATGCTTTGTGGTTTCCGAGATAGAGAGGGGAGAGGAGTGTGGAGAAGGGGTTTGCTGTTCTGGCATTCAAAGATATCCGCCGCTGTTTATTCGCATCTATGCGCCATCTGTACTAAGGAGATGCCAGAATTCGTTTCTGTCACAATCGAAGCCATTCCATGCCCTCTTTCTGTCGCAGTGGTTTCGAGCAACATTGGCGATGGGAAGGCGTTTGCGTACGACGAGAGTGGTATTTATCTACTCCTTTCCAGCGAGGATGTTACCGTACCCGGTTACTGTAACGAGTATTGCGGATGGCACACCATGGACTCTATCGGCGAAAACCCGGTTGTCTATTCGTTCGTGGGGCATCACGGGCAATGCCCCGACGGTTGCGGGGCGCAGAGCACGTCGCCTAACGGGAACCCTGCGATCGATGCGACGATTTCCACCATCGCTCATGAAATTGCGGAAGCAGCAACCGATCCGGATGCTGCGAACGGGTGGATGGACGACAGCGGCGAAGAGAATGCGGACAAGTGCTCGTACGACGTTGGAACGACGAAAACGGGTCAGAATGACCGCGGGGAAACGTTTGAGTACAATCTGGTTGGAATGAAGAACATGAAGTTTCTGGTGCAGCGGAACTGGGACAGGGTGAAAAACGAGTGCGCGGCGCAAAGGAAGTTCCACGGCTGAAGACTTGGGATGAAAATACAATCTGACTCGGGCAATAATGGCTAATAAGCGGTGCTGCAGTGTTGTTTCGCTGGAAATAAACTTTTTGATATATGTGACCGACAAGAATGCATTATTTCTCAACTCTCGTACTGTTACGAGTGCAATCGAGTGAACGAACGAGAATTGCACTATCGAAGCAAGAGTACAATGAGCGAAGGCATGAGCGAGGAATATATAGCGAAACTACAGTGTTAACAGTAATGTGTGGAAAATGGGGTGCACGACGGGCCTAGCGCCGAGGTTGGGAAGTGTCGAGGCGGTAGGTCTGGAGCGCGGGTTACCAACCGAACCGTGAGGTTGGGTCGCGTCGTGAACAGTGGCGGGAACAGTGTCGAGGCGTGTGTCGCGAGTGGTAACGGATTACTGTTGGGTATAGTTGGCGGGAACAGTGGTGTACGCGCTGAGCAGGGACGCGAAGGAAAATGAATTTTCCTTACACTACCCCCCCCCCCCCCCCCCCCCCCCCCCCCCCCCCCTCTAATGAGGCCCTCCTTACGAAAGCGCATGTGCATCCCAGAAATTTTGGCTGCGCAGATACTCGGTGAGGACGGGGTGGTTCTCAATCCTGTCCAGGGGAACCCGGTCTCTCCAGCGGATCAAAAATTCGATCCGACGAGCTCCCCGTGGGTCACGTACTTGGTGGCTCAGAATCTTCTTGGGCGTGATGATTGGTTCTGTCGACGGTCGTGTCATACTGGCTGGGCGGTTGCGGGGCAGTTGGCTGGTGGATGGTACGTAGGGGCGAAGTAGGCTGACGTGGAATGACGGGCTGACGTACCAGTCAGCAGGCGGTGACGGGTGTGACCATGTGGCTGATGCGAAATGGCCCGCAATATCGGGGGCAGAGTTTTGGGGTGATGGGCAGGCGGAGGTTCTGGGTGTCGAGTAAAACTAGGTCGTCGGGCTGGTAAGTGACAGGTCTGCGGTGGCGGTCGGCGTTGCGTTTTGCGATGACGTTGGCCTTTTAATGGCGTCAGCTGCCCGGGTCCGTGCTGCCTGTAAGATTTCTGCAAACTGTTGCGCGCGGGGTACTGGATTGTCGGGATTCGGGGTCATGGGTACTGTGGGGTCTTGTCCGTAGTTCGGGTAAAATGGTGACTGTTGGGTCGTGGCGGATGGCGAATTGTTGTATGTGATTCGATGAGTGGCAGCTGCTGTTCCCAGGTGGTCAGATCGTCGCACGTGGCTCGGATGAGTTGCTCCATGGTCTAGTTTGTCCTTTCTGTCTATCCGTCGGTCTCGGGGTGGTACGAGGAACTAAACTGTAGTCGCGTGCCGAACTGCTGCCACAAGTTCCGCCAGAAGTTGCTGGTGAATTTTGTGTCGCGGTCGCTGATGATCGCTGCTGGTATCCCGTGCAGTCGAACGACAGTGGAGATGAAGAGGCGGGCTGTTTCTTCGGCTGTGATCGATTTCTTGCAAGCTGCGAAGTGTGCCATTTTCGCCAGCCAATCGACGACGACCAGGATCGCGTCGTTCCCACTTGCTCCGGCCGGTAACCCCGTGACGAAATCCATCGTCACCTGCTGTCAAGCACGCTCTGGGGGTGGGATCGGCTACAACTGTCATGCCAGCCGCTTCCGTGATGACTTCATGAGCTGGCAGGTGGGACACGATGCCACGTGTCGCTGTACCTCGGTCAGCATTTCGGGCCAGTAATAATACCGCTGCAGCTGCAGCCGTGTTTTCTCTACTCCGTAATGTCCTGAGGTAACTCCGTCGTGTGCCTCCTCTAGCAGTAATTCCCGTAGTAGTGAATACCCTGGTACCCAGATGCGGTCGGTGCCGGCTTTTACGTAATAAACCCCCTTTGCTGCTGCAAACTGCTGCGAATTTCCTCCTGTGAAGAATGGATCCATTTGGTACCCGTGGGTAAATAGTCTCGTAAGTAGTGGGCTGGTCTGGGCAAGTAGTATTGCGTGGATCTGGGCAGTGGGGCGGGTCAGTGCGTCAGCGATGTTCGATGCTCCCTTTTTGTAGGTGACCGTATAGTGGAAGTTTGACTCGAGGAAATCGAGCCAGCGAATCAGTCGTGGGTTGAGGTGGGGCTGTGCGCGGAGGTACTGTAGCGACTTATGGTCCGTCCGTACTGTCACATCTGCGTCGGTCAAGTAACAGCGCCACACTTTGAATGCGTGCACGATCGCGAGCATTTCTCGGTCGTGTATTGGATAGTTTTTCTCAGGTGGGTGCAGTTTGCGGGACTCGTATGCGATGGGCTGTAACCCGTTGCCGAATTCCTGTAGCAGTACGGCTCCGATGGCGATGTCGCTTGCGTCTGTAACTACTTCGAATGGGCAGTGTGGGTTGGCGATGCGCAGTACGGGCGGTGAACATAGATCATTTTTCAGGGCATTAAAGGCAGCATGCTCTTTCCCCCCCCACGTAAAAGTGACCCCCTTCCGCAGCAAGTCCGTGAGTGGTGCTGTTAATCGTGCCATGTCGGGGACGAACCGACGCACGTTTTTTACGAACCCCAAAAAACTCTGCAGCTCCGTGATATTCGTCGGGGGGGTGCCATGCTTTTACCGTGTCCAGCTTCTTTGGGTCAATTTCGACCCCAGCCTCCGAAATATCGTGCCCCAAAAACTCTAGCCTGTCCTGAAAAAACCCGCACTTGGAACCCTTAGTAAGTAGTCGATGTTCGTCTAAAATTTTAAATACTGCTTCCAGATCTGCCAAGTGCTGCTGCTGTCAGAACATCATAGCTCATGCATATTGTGTAGGCTATAGTGGGGTAGCCCATAAGGGGTACAACCCAATTAGGGTTATTACTTGTACCCAATTCATTCATAGTCAATTCATTCCTTGTTTCTTCTCATGGTATCGAGCAGGTTCCCCCGTGGGAACTGTTCCTAGGGCCCACCGTTTTTCCTGCCCGGAGCGCACTCAGCCCCTGCCCGAGTCGCGCTCCCCTCTCTCGCGCCGCCCTAGCGGCCCCTTCGCGCCGCCCTCGCGGCCCCTTCGAGCCGCCCTCGCGGCTCTATCCGCCGCCCTTCGCGGCCCCTACTCCGCCGCCCTCGCGGCCCCGATCCGCCGCCCTCGCGGCCCCGATCCGCCGCCCTCGCGGCCCCGCTCCGCCGCCCTCGCGGCCCCGATCCGCCGCCCTTCGCGGCCCCGATCCGCCGCCCTCGCGGCCCCGCTCCGCCGCCCTCGCGGCCCCGATCCGCCGCCCTTCGCGGCCCCGATCCGCCGCCCTCGCGGCCCCTACTCCGCCGCCCTCGCGGCCCCGATTCGCCGCCCTCGCGGCCCCTATCCGCCGCCCTCGCGGCCCCTACTCCGCCGCACTCGCGGCCCCTACTCCGCAGCCCTCGCGGCCCCGATCCGCCGCCCTCGCGGCCCCGATCCGCCGCCCTAGCGGCCTCCGGCCCCTGCTCCTACGGCCCCGGCGCCTGCTCCTACGGCCCCCGCGCCTACTCCTACGAGCAGCCCACCCGCTGAGCCGCCCAGCAACCGAGCAGCCCAGCCGCTGAGCCGCCGAGCCGCCCAGCAACCGAGCCGCCCAGCCGCCGAGCCGCCCAGCAGCCGAGCCGCCCAGCAGCCGAGCCGCCCTGCCGCCGAGCCGCCCAGCAGCCGAGCCGCCCAGCCGCCGAGCCGCCCAGCCGCCGAGCCGCCCAGCAGCCGAGCCGCCCAGCAGCCGAGCCGCCGAGCCGCCCA